GGGAGCACAGAATGCAGATTTCCCTTGGCAGGACTCCAGGGGCCCCATGCAGCCCCCACTGCTTATAAACAGGTCCAAGCAGGACTGCAACAGCTCGGCCACGGAGCACCTCCATGCTGCCTCCTGCTCGGCCTCGGCCCCACGGCCCCCAGGAAGGTGAGCACGGCCGGCGTGCTGGGAGCCACGGTGCGCTCTGACGCTGGTCCCGGTGCGAGCTGCAGGGCGGCAGGGCGTGTGCAGGAACAAGCCGGGCTCCAAAATGGCCCTCAGCCCTGGACACCACTCAACGAGCGTCCGGGCTGCTCTCCATGCTGCAAAGAGCGACCTGTGAAAAGGGGCAACAAGCAGGATTCCCGAACGCCACGTTCCTAAACGGACTCAAAGGTGCGGCGCGCAAGCAGCCGCACCCGGCCACTATGTCCGCAGCTGTGTTCCGGTCGGGCCCTGGAGCTCCGCCAGCCGCTCCGCTGCCCCCAGTCTCCAGCAGCCGGTGCTCGCGGATCAGGAGTCCGCGCTGAACGCCGCAGGGCTGTCGCTGGGACACAGCGCTGCTCGCTTCTGCCGCCAGGCGGCGCTCTGCCCTCCCCTCCAAGGTGACGCTGGCGGTGCGCGGGGCGTGCGTTAGAAATGGAGTTGTTCAATTATGGGATTAATTCTCGCTTGCAAAGCTGCAGTGGTTTTTGAATGCTGTGAATGGGTTTTGAATGTAGTATGGGTATGGTATTATGGACTAGACAGCATGTTGTAAAGCTATTCTGTTTGGATAAGAGAGCCTTAGCAAAGGAACAGAAGGCTTATCAAACTTCAAAGAAGCCGGGGCCTCCACACAAGGCTGGATTGTCTCACTCTGTGGGTAGGTTGGGATGCAACAGGAAGGCATCAAGGTACTCCTCTCTATCTTTCTTCCAAGCTTATCTCTATCCAGGGTCAAGCAGGTGTCGAGAAATAATGGCTGGTTGCTGAGTGAGTAAATGTTACGATTTTAGTACCTATAAATTACTTATAATCGGCATTCTCTTAATGAGCATGCATCAGTGAAGACTTCACTGAAGGACTTCAACTGCTCTGATATTTGCTTGAAAAGCAGCACTGCCAGGCACACACAGCCCAGGAGTGTGTGGAAGAAAACTTTCTGGCAAAGATTGTGGAGGAGTCAGTGAGGAGAGGTATGCCGCTGGATCTTACTGCTCCAAACACCAGTTCCTCCCCAGCCAGTCCAGGAAGGACTGGTCGGGGATGTGAAGGCTGGGGGAAGCCTTGGGTGCAGTGATTGTGAGACTGTGGAGTTCAGGATCTCGAATGGGAGAAATCAGGCAGTTTGTGGGATTGCAATCAGGACTACAGGGAGCCAACTTTGACCTCTTCAAGGACATGCTTGGAGGCCTCCCATGGGTTGGAGCGCTGACAAGCAAGAGGGACCCGGAGAGCTGGTTGTCATTCAAGCACCACTTCTTCCAAATTCGGGATGAGTGCATCTCTAAGACTAAGCAATCAGGCAAAGGTGGCATGAGGCCTGCAGAGGTGAGCAAGGAGCTCACGGAAAGGCACTAATGGAAGAACAACGCCTCTGGAATGTGGGAAAAGGCTCTGGCCACTTGCAAAGAAAATGGGAATGTTGCCAGGACATGCAGGGATGCCACAAGGATGGCTGAGGCCCACTGGGAAGCAAGTTGGGTGACCTCCCAGCCATGGACAACAAGAAGGGCTTCTTTAGTATGTCAGTAGCAAAAGGAAGACTGGGAGAACGTGCGTCTGCTGCTGAATGAGGTGGGTGGCCTAGTAATGGAGGGCACCAAGAAAGCGGCGTTGCTGCACAACTTCTTTACTTCATTCTTTCCTGCAAAGACTGCCCCTTGGGAATCCCAGAGCCTGGAGACAAGAACATGGGCAAAGGAAGACTTCCCCTTGGTCAAGAAGGATCTGATCAGAGGTCATCTAGGCTAACTCAACACAGATCCATGGGCACCAATGAGGTGCACGCATGAGTGCTGAAGGAGCTGGCAGAAGTGACTGTCAAGGTGCTCTTGATCATCTTTCAGAGGTCAGGGAGAAACAGGAGAGGTGCCTGAGGACCGTTTCCTCCAGAGGCCAATGTCATTCCAGTCTTTCAAAAGGGCAGGAAGGCAAAACTGGGAAACGACAGGCCGGTCAGCCTCACCTCTGTGCCTCGAAGGTAGCGGAACAACGTGTTCTGAATGCCATCTCTAAGCAATTAGAAGAGAA